TTCCTGCAGTAAGGTTAATATTTCTGGTGAAGTTTTTCTCATGACAATGAAAGTCTTTGGAGCTATAAGTCCTCATATGTTTGTTTACCATGGATCTGAATAAAGGGTTATTACTGTATGTCTGTGCAAACACATAAGTGTTTTTAACTCAATGTGTTAGCCAATTGTATTTTATAGACACAGGGCTATCTGTATTGTAAGTGATGGGAACATACTTTGCATGCTACAAAGGCCCATAGTGTTAAAAGGTGAATACTACAGAGATAACACGTGGTGTAACTGTATTTATAAAATGATCTAGAATGTTCATCCATGATAAATATACTTTTTCTGCATGAAATAGTATTTAAAAACTAACTTACAGCTGCAACACTTTTGGTGACAATTCAATATTTTTGTTCTTTGGGTGTTCTGTTTGTTTGCAGTCAGATGAGTGAGCCTCATAGCGGTTTGACGCTCAAATGTGCCAAGTGTGGAGTAGTTTCTACAACAGCTTTGTCAGCCACCACCGCCAGTAATGCCATGTTAGTCCCAATCATTTACATCTTCTTGTTACAAACTTTACATGTGCATGTGAGAAAATGCTATGATGGAAAAAATTGTGCTTGTTAATACTTGTGTATTTATAATTGGCAACTACCTTTATAATGATTGTGGGATACCCTAGAAAAGATGTCAAATTCTCAAGTATTATCTGCTTTGTGGTTTCCAAATTAATGGTCTTGGTGCCACATGCAAGAATGCTTTTTTGGGAGAGTGAATGGGGGTTTGGCTATGGCCTGGGGCATGACATGCAACTACGTAACGTTGCTATCTTTTCTCTTCCAACAGGGCCTCACTTTGGAGCTCCTGTGTGGTGCTGCCCCTTCTGGCTCTGACATGGATGTCTGCAGTCCTGGCCATGACAGATAAACGCTCTATATTGTTTCAAATCCTCTTTGCTGTGTTTGATTCATTACAAGGCTTCGTGATAGTCATGGTCCATTGCATTCTTCGGAGAGAGGTGAGAAACAGAATTCTTTTGTGAAAGAGATAAGCAGAAGTGGGAAAGCACATCTTAATTAGCCAGTATGATCTTGGATTGCAATCTTGGTCTTCAGACTAAGTTGATCTTCTCCACTGACTGTTGCTTAAGAGTCAAAGCTGAAAAGAAGCATTAAGGCAGAATGCATGGGGCGCTGACACTCAGGAAAAGACAGATTGAAATGAATAGGTTTGTACAAGGGGAACACATCCAGAGGTGCCAAGAACCATGAAGAACAGATTCAAGACAGATGGAGTGAGCTAGGTATGTTGGAGAAACCAGAGGGAGAAAGGGTGAGGTGGGCATGTCTTAAATGGCACTGTTCACAAACATCGTGCCCTGCTATTTCTTACCTGTTTCCCAAGCTAGCTACTACACATAGAATATCCCCCATCCTATTCTTATCTCATCTCAACTTTTCATGCAGATTGAATCTTAAAGTTACTAAAGATAAATAATCTTGATTTGAATGTTTACGTCAACAGAACCTGCACATAGTAAGGCATTATGGGCAGTAATTGTCCGCAAGAACTATAGGCCTGCAATCTTAGCACATCTCTGGCTCCCAGAGATTATTTTCTGTAAAAGGAAGAAGAGGGCTCCTCTGGACTAGAGACACCAAGGCACCAAGCTCATCTAAGACAGTGCGACTGCAGATTTGTGTTGTTTAGGGATAAAATACTGTTTTCCAACTGGTGTGAAAATTATCCTGAGCGCTTGCAAGCACTGACACAGTGTTTACATGGTTTATGAGTCATCACAGTGTTTACTCTGGGGATGAGTGGGGACTAAAGAGCATGCTGACACCATGCCATGTGAGGGATTTTGAGAACAGTCGACTGTCAGTCTGCATTAGCAAGCTTTCCAGAGTAGCCTGTTGTGCTGTACACATCACAGAGTGCGTGAGCATCGGAGCACACACCCCATTGCTTTACAGTGATGTGTGAAGGTAATGAAAGGCCTTAACCTGATTTATTAGGTGGGAAGAACAGTGTTTCTGGCTTATTTCGGGAAGGCACAGATGTCAGCAATAAACTCACAGGTGTATTCTAAGAATATTCTATGATGTGAAGCCATGAAAACAGATGAAGTGTGACTTCTTCATCTTGTAAGGGGGAGATATTTCACAAGTTCAACATCTAAAGTAGCTTACCACTGTCAAACCTTGCTCACCAACTTCTTCCTAAAATATCGCTTCTAAAAATCTCCTGAATATTGAGTTCCTTCTATAGCCAAGTAATAAAGGTTAAAAAGAAATTGAATGATTAACTTAGATAGTATTCTTTTCCAATTATGACTATCTTCTGGATCACCTGTATTAACAGTCCTTTAATATTTTTTAAATAAGAGAATTCCTCTAAATTTCAATTGACAGTTAAAGATGGACTATTTCAGGCTTTAAACAAGGTGCAGGGCATATCTGCAAGCAATAGACAAAAACTGCATGCAATTTTCAGAAAAAATTAATACCCCAGTTATTACGGTATAGACAAGTACTCTACCTTTAAATGAATTCTCTGTCTTTTCTTAAAGACATGGCCTCATGTAGCCTACAGTAATCTCAAACTTGATGTGTGAGTTTTATGTTATGCTAGGAACTGAACCTAGCGCTTTGTGTATGCAAGCACTCTACCCACCAAGCCACATGCCCAGCTCATGTCTCTTTTTTTAGAGAGCTGTAGGCTATCCTCAAAATAAGCAGAACTTTAAGTGACAGATATGATGGCTTATTATCAAATTTTTGCTACTTACAGAGAGAAAAATATTTGGCAGAAAAATCCTTGATACCAATCAGAACTTTTCAGTACTTTCTAATTAGACTATTAGCTGTCAGAAGCATGATTTAAGTGCAATTAAGTCAAATCATGAAACAAATGCTTCTGCTAAATAAGAAATCTGTAAATAGATGTTTTCTCTACTAGTAGGAGCAAAACATAGCCATTCTCTCTGGTATTTTTCAGTGGATAATTCCAACTGAATAACTGTATTATTAATAAATCCATAGTGAATTTTTACAGCATTCTTTAGTTCTAACACAAAATGAACATTTTTTTTCTTTTTCATTGAACCATACAAACACTCTGTAACCTCACTAAAAATACATATATTTCAGTTAAGGGCAAGTGATCTTCAGCATTCCCAAGAGAAATTTTGTTATTAAAGAACTAAAGTTATTTTTAATTTATAATTTAAACCATTTTATGCCTTACATAGAATGTTTCATCGAAAGCTCCCTTGGAAGCAAAGCTTATTTCTAATCTACATGTGTATCACCTGACACTGGCAGTAGGTCTGTCTCATATTGTGACCTTATTGCCCTAACCCTGAATGTAGTATAAGAAAAAAGAAACCCCTTTCCCATGGCCTCTGTGCCTTCTATCAGTACTGTTTCCATAAAAATATATCAAAGTAAATAGAGCAGTGTTTGTGAAATACTGAGTTGTCATGTGGGACTCTTAAATACTTAATTGGTAATGCATAACTGATAATCCGAAAGAGACCTAGGAATACAATTTTGTCTTTATTGCTTTGTTCACCATTTTATTTCTCTGCTAGTTTCTTCAGAATAAATTCTTATAATTTGTATAGAACTTTTCTTTCTTGAAAATCTGCAACCAATGTAAGAAATAATTTTGATGTAGAGCTTGAGAAATACATATTCTTATTCCTATTTTTTTTCTATTTTTAAATACCAACATAATTTGGTTCTTTTTAGTTATTGCTGTTTTTACTCATATTGACTTGCCCAATCTTTGTGGAAGAGAATGAAATATAGCCTTGTACTTCCAGGAGGAATGAAAGACTGCAATGATGACATTTAGGAGGCAAATGTGGAGAGAGTATTTTAGGTTTGATTTTGCTTTTGATGGGCTCAATTCTAAAAGAATAATAATTTTTAATTTGGAGACAAGGAAGAGATAAATGCACTGGTGTTGACCCCTGAACTTCTATGTGTTTACATGGATGTAGTATGTGTTAATGTGCTGGATGCACTGTTTATGTGCTCACACGTGGGGCCAAAGCAGAGCTTTCTTTAAGTAGCTTGCCTTATCACCTTAAGAGAGACTCTTCCACTAAACCTGAAACTCCACCTTTGGCTAGGCTGGTCAGTGAGCCCCAGGGATCCTCCTGACTCTGCCTCCACCTCCACCCCAAGAACTGAGATTACAGGCTTAGCTTTATGCTAGTTCTTTTACACAGACACCTGGGATTCAAACTCAGATTCTCATGCCTGCAAGGCAAACATGTTTACCCACTGAGCCATCTGCCCAACCCCATCATCTGTTTCGATAAAAAGAAAATTGAGTATCTCAATGCCTGTTCCTGATCTCTAGACCTGTCAAACAGTATTTGAATACCATTTTTTTTCTTAATGCTGTAGTTGTTTCTTCTACAAACCGTTGTCCCTTTGAATTGTTATAGCAAATGTTTCCGGGGCAGGGGAGAAGACAAAACCAAAACCACATAATCTAGACACTAATATGTGTTCTAGACATCAGATTGAATCTAGCAGAGCAAGTATAGACGTTTTCTGCATTTGTTGATTAGAATTCACTTGGATTGAACAGATAAGAACACATACTATTTACTATTCTCCTCATTGCTATGGAAATGAAACTACACAAGAGTTAGGAAACCTTTGGAATATTTCCTGTTGCTAGGAAACCACTTTCTTGGTTCCTGCACATTCTTTTCATCTCTTTCTCTGGCTGTGCCAGGCTCTAAGACAGTCTTGCAGCTTGATCTCAGACGGGGAACATAACAAGATTATGATACCAAATAATCTAAAATAAAGCCCTGCCATTAAATACAAGGGGGTTCTTAAAATTTACATCATAAATGGATGATCCTCTTGTGTCCCTGTGTAAGCATCCTCTGGCTGTTTCATGACATTAGTATCAGGGCCAATATCCTCTTCTCTCCCGAGCTTTGGCATGAAGTCAGGCTGAGCCAGATGAGGCCTCAAATAGTCATCCAAACCTGTGAAGCAATTTTTCAGGAAAATCGTTAAAATAAAACATGAACTGTATTCTCTCTCTCTCTCTCTCTCTCTCTCTCTCTCTCTCTCTCTCTCTCTCTCTCTCCCCTCTCTCTCTCCATATGACAGTTCTAGTTAGAGCATTTCATGATCTTGATAAGAGCTACTTATTCCAAGTAGCATCAGAAAAACAGTGAATGTTATTTATAGAATCAGTATGCGGCCAAGTGTGGAGACTTAGGGCTTGACTGGAACATTTTGCTTGTGAGACAGACAAATAGCACATGGATTAAGAGATGGTCAAGTCATTTACTAACGCCTTCATACTTTCCAGGCTGAATTTAAAATCCCAGAAGAAAATCATTTAAAGATTCTGTTGTTTTGCTTTGTTTTTAGTAAAACAATATATGTGCCTTAAAGTAGGTGAATGGCAAGAGACAACAAAATAAGCTTTAATTGGACATGACATAGTCGCGGACAACATGCGACTTAGGGTCTTAGGTTTCCTCAGAAGCCACCGATCTCACCTCACTCCACATCCTGTTTGTTAGAGATGGAAGTGTACATCTTGCTGCTTCTAGATTAGGCTTTCCCAGAGTGTCATAATTCCATTTATATGGCAGAACATCTACATTCTTCTGAATCCTCAAATGGATGACCATAAGAAGCATAAGAGGTTATTGGATGTGTGAAATCTGATGAAAGAGACTTAGTGAACAAGTTCAGACACAGGGAGCTTGAAACACAACTTGACATACTGGTGTGCCTCCCAGGGAGCATCCAACTGTGATTTTGGGTTACTCTCAATTCTTCCAGTCACATTTTCCTCCCAGCTGCCCCTACTCTAGGGAGCAGCATCGTGCTGCCATCTATAGTGAGCAGAGGCTGTACACTGGCAGGCTGACAGGTGGCTCCCACTTCCTTCTCCCCTCATACCCCCAAGATCTCACCTTCCAGCTCTATGATACTTCTACACTGTATGTGCCTTGACTAAAGGAATAAAGTGAGAACTTATCTGGTTATTCCTTTTTAAAAAAGTCTTTTTGTTTTGGTTCATTCCTTGGCTTAAACTATTCTAATCTTTGTTTGGTAAATTTGAAAGGCTAGAAATAGAATGGTGTCCAGGAATGAGGACTTTCAAAGCAAAACATGTGGTTCCATTTTGAGCTTTTGTCACCTATGGCAGCAAAAATGTCAGGTGAGTTGCTTGCAGTCTCTAAGCCTGAGTTTGCTCTTCTATGCATTGTGAGCCTGTCTGTGGGCACAAAGGCTGTGGCACCAGGATGCAATGAAATGCCTCCTGAGAAGGTGTGAGCCATAGTGTCTAGCATCGAATTCTTCCCTCTCTCATTTGCACACTAAAGGAACACTGCTACATTTTTCAGACCGTGTGTTTGAAAGATCATCACCTAAAGAAGTTTTAGTGTGCCCCAAAAGAAGGATTTTTTAAAAAATTAATTTGAAGGTCAAAAGGAGGGCATTTCAGATAGCAAGTCATAGATCCTTCAGCCTTAGGGAATCCCAATAAAGATCCATCTGGCTTGAATCTGAGAGTGTACCCTGAACCTTTCATTGTATAGCAAGGGACAAACCTTCCTTTTTTATTTCACTAGGAAAAAAGTAAAGTAATATTTTTTTAAATGTCAAGTTATTCATGATACTTATGTCATTTGGTACAATATTTATAAAACTGAGACTTATTCATCCATTTAATGATTAACTATAAAATATATTATGTTGAAAAAAAAAAACCTGTGCTATTTGTTTAAATCTGAAACAATAGGTGTGATTGTAGACACAGGACTTAAGAAACCACTCTCCCCCAGAAATCATAACAAATGAATACAAGAATAAAATGTGTGTATTCCTGACTTAAAATGATCTTGTGAGTTCACAAGAATTCACAAAGAGGAGCTTGAGGTAAAACTGTTTCGTCGTTTAGAGGTGAAGATTTGGGGTCTGAGCAGTTCAGCAGCTAAATCTGGATCCTGCTTCAAGCTGTGGAACTCTTGCCTGTGAGGCTTCGAGGATTTGCAACACTGCCAACCATGCGGGGTGCCCCTCTCCTGCAAACCTCGAAGTCTGGCGTGGACTTTGCACTGAGACTCTCTGCCAGCTGCCTCTGGAGTGACAACCAATTGAGAAGCTCTCAGCTTGCTGCTGCTGCTGCTGCTACTGCTGAGAAAACCCAAATGCCTCTCCCCCCCCGGAGACAGGAGCTAGACATTCCCCTGCAAACAAACTACTTTGAACTCAGATGTCATCCAGGAAACTCAATGTATGCATTGAGAAAGACCCATTGTTTCTCTGGGCAGTTTTGTTTTGTTTTGTTTTTTGAAGCCCCCTAGCTGCTTAGCTATCGCTGTATTCTTAAAGATGTTGCCCTTTGTTCTTTCTGTATCTCACTACAGACCATCAGGGTTCCTTAAAGTCCCCTGACTATTTTAAGTGTAGCAAGATATGTGTTCCTTGCTACTGCCTCTTACTTTTAGCCCTGTCTGGTCATTATTAAGAATGACAGACCTATTTCAGAATGGTTCAAAAGGAAGACATTTTATAATCTAGATATGAAGTGTGACATAATTAATGTTAAATATTTCATTGTTCCCCCACAGATTCACTTCAAACTTGGGTTTACTGGCCTCCAGAAAGTTTTTGAAATGTTAATTTTGCAGGAACTCAGATTTGTAATGTTAATGTCAAATAATAAACTAATAATAACAGTTTTAAGTAAAATAGTTTACTGAAGGAATTAGCTCTCCATGAATAAACATAAAGGACAGTTACTGTTCATCATTGTAAATATAACATTGGCATAAGAGATTCAGAGGGACTTTAATCTTTGTATGGCATAGAATGATCTATTTTTCATTTCTTCTTGTTATTTATTTTTATGTTTGTCTAGAGCTTGAATTTTAAGCAATTCCAGTTTTTCATTGGTATAATTCACATTAATTCCCCAAAGGATAAAACTTTTTGTTTACCTGCTAGAAAATTCAGTGAACAAAATGTCTGCACATAACTGGATCTTTTTCCAGATGCTATCTTGCCTTAAGCCTCTCTGAGGTAAAGAGAATCATCATGTGCCTCTCATCATTTCTTTCCATGGTGTTGAGCAAATATTTAATGCCAATTCATCTAGATAGCGTCTGTGTGTTTTTAGATTTTAAAAAATCAAATAAGGCATTTGGAATCAAATGAAATTTCTCCCGGAAATCCTTATGAATGAGAGCTGTTCACCGAAAATGTCTTAGACTCTAATTCTTAAATTATGACACCTGTAAGAACCTAAAAATGGCCTTAAACATAGTGAAAAATTCGTTTGCTTTTCTGTCTTCTCTCTCTTCCAAACAGCATTAGCTGACTGATAAAACGGATGTCATTTCCAGTGTAGACATGCCCCTAGCTCACTGTGACATTTGGAAGTATTGAAGAAATACCGTCAAAAGTATTGATTCTGTGTGTGTGTTAAGTGTATGTTTCAAAAAAAAGGAGATTTCTTTTATATCTCTTTCGATCAACCAGACAATAATTTGGAAGAGAAATTAACAGAATTTGCTTTTCCATGTTTTTTAAATGTCAATTGGAAGATCCTTGACAACTTTTTGGCGATTAGTTCAAAATAAAGAACACTTAAAAAGGACCAGAGAAATTAATGTTTGTCATTGCTGCTGTCAGTGCAAACACACAGCACTTACCCTTTTGAAGGAAAGAAATAGTTTATTCTAGAGCCAAATATGAGTGACCAGAACCCAGGAACACAGATGTAGGTCAGATAAAATTTCATGTTCCAACATAGTAATACTTTGATGAAGTTGTTACAGTAACAGAACAAAGAAAGGTGTGCATCAAACCATCTCTCCACTACATCAATGGAAACATTGAGAAGACAGTAAAAGCAAAACAGAGAGCTCCTGATTTAGTTTACATGGGAATTCCATTCCCACCACAGTGTTTCATATTTTATATATGCTGATATTTAGAAATAGTTTTGAATGGAATCATCAAGTGACAAGCTCCAAAAAGACAAAAGACATATCATTTATTTTTCTTTATAAAATGTACTTTAACTGTTGCTTTGGGGCATAAACAGCATTTAGCATGAACCTGTTTTTCAAACGTAGGAATCACAGAAAAATAATGGCAGCCTGGCAAACACTAAGTTCATTGCCAATTTTCTATTGGTAATGCATTATTTTATAACCTACAATGACTTCTTGGTTTAAAAAGGAATCCCCTGAAAACACTGATGTTGAGAGAGTCTTCTGCTCTGTTCTGGGGTGTCTGCTTTGCTGGGAGAAGCTAGATGATTCAGTCCCTCTATTCCTCTGAGTCCTAAGAAAAAAAGGCATCAGAGTAGATTTCAGAGCAGCCAGACTCTTCATTGATGTGTTGGACCAAAGAAATGTTATCAAGGGACTGATCATTGGCTTGGAGATTAGCTATGTTAGCATTGTAGAATGGAAGCCATCGGAAGACACCAGCTTGCACTCCAACTTCATAGAAATTGGCTGCACCACCAGGCGGAGAGCCATAGGTGGAGAGAGGATGTATGTGCGGGTCTCTATAGCACGGGCAGAGCAGACCACTCAGGTCCACATTTCAGATCTAAATTGCAATTTGGGGAAGAGTATTGATGACTCAAAAATGGGGAGGAAGGAGACAAAAACAAATTAATGGTTTGATCCATTATGTTCTGTTTTGTTCTGTTTCCTGACCAATATATATGTTATACACATCTCATATCAAAATGGCTGTGCTTTTCAAAAGTAAAGACCTACATGTGCTTACCTTGCAGTCTCTATAATAGTGATTCACTATAGGGAAAACGCAACATGAGCTATGCTTTTAATAACTGTAAAACAGATTATAATAGAAGAGGAGAATATCAAATGCATGGAATCAGACAAAGGAGTAAGAAAACGACCTGGCCATTGATTTGGGATAAGTAGCTATCTGTGAACATATTTGTCGATGAACTTGGGAGGAGCCTAAAGGACCACAGGAAGTGGGATGTGTGCAACCCAATGCTGAGGTGTCATGTGATCAGAAAACAGCAATTGTTTTTGTTAACCAGTGGAGAGTTCCCTTTACATCTCTTTGCCTCTGCTGAGGTTTTGTAATAAAACAATTAATGTAATATTCTTAGAAACCTCTTGTGATATGTTTATGCTGCATCTAGGACCTGGTGGGATGTCAAGGGAGTCTCGCTGAGCTAAAGAGTCTTGTTCTTTCCCACGTCGATCAACCAGAAGTCAAGGGATGTGTTTCATATTGCTCTGTTGTTTCCTATTTTTCTATCTGGAGGCATAGACATGAAGGGGGAAAACAGGAATAGTTTTTTCCACAAGTGAGTCAGATAAGAAAAAAAAAACATAAATCAATTCCAGTCAAAAGATCATTGAGTGATTTCATTTTTCAGTGTTTAAATCTGTTATGGATATTACACAAGAGGAAATCCACCTCCTACATACACACACACACACACACACACACACACACACAGCAGCAGCAGCAGCAGCAGCAGCAGCAACAGCAGCATGCACTTGTTTATAACAATAGTAGAAAAACCCATCTCATGTTAAGAATGATGAGGATTAAGCCAGAAATGGCTGTCCTGCTCTCTCAAGAGTTCCAACACTAATTTGATAGACAATGGCAAGTGATAAATACCCTGGCGAGTGAGCAAAGCCATGTACACCTATATTTGTGGTAAGAGGTAATCAATGTCAGGCATGGTGGTGCTGGCCTGTATCCCAGAACTGGGGAGGCAGATACAAGTAGATCTCTGTGAACTTGAGGCCAGCCTGATCTGCATAACTAGATCTAGGCCAGCCAGGAAACAAGATGAGTCTTATACCATACAAACAAAGATAGTGTTTTTCTCATAATTGATAGGCAATATGGACAGTATCTAGTTATTACTGAGGAAAAAGGAAAATTGGTATTTTTTCCTTCCCACAGGTTCAAGATGCATTTAGATGCCGGTTGAGAAACTGCCAGGATCCAATCAATGCTGATTCTTCAAGTTCCTTTCCTAATGGACATGCTCAAATCATGGTGAGCTTTCATTTTCTTTCTGGTTGATAATTAAGTCATAATTTCTCAAGAAAAAATATATGTATGTATAACAAATTCATTGTTAATGAAATAGTATAAAATCACAATTTGGCTTTAGTTCATTAAGACTAATACTTTGTGAACTGATGAGATGACTTAGGGGTTCAAGACACTTACTGTCTTTTCAGAGGACTGGAGTTCAGTTCCCAGCACCCACATCTATACCTCATGGGTACCTATAACTCCAGCTCCAAGGTATTTGATGCCCTCTTCATGCTTCTATGTGTTCCTGTACACATGGACACACACACACATACACAAAATACACAAATAATAAAACAAATATTTAAAGTAAATACTTGGTACTTTGATATCCAATAAATGTTCTTTCTGGAGTGTCTTTGAATCAAGGATCTGCTGTTGACTCCCTCGGGGGGTTAGAATGGTGTCTTCTTATACAACAGTGAAGAGTATTTCCTCCTTGTCTAGAATTCAGTTCAAGATAATTATTTTTTACACATAAGTACATTGGACTTTCACACTTGTTTTTGATGTCTGTAATGTTTCTTTCCATTCTTTCTATTTATTGCTTTTTGAGAATTTAATAGAACAAGTTTTAATTGTACCCCTCCCTCATTAATATACATAGTTTAATATGAGAGTCCTTAGAGGGGCTGTAACTAAGAGCAGTTAGATATGTATATTTAAAGGTGACCCCAGGTAATGGTGGCTCCACTGAACAGCCTAAAGAGACTAAAACAGAAGAAAAGGCACTTTCTGTTATGGATCCATACTGTACATGAGCCCAGGGTTCTGTTGGAGTCAAGGCTACTATAGGCATTAACACTTTGGCAAACTCTAGAAATGAGATAAAAATTACTATCATCAAAACAGAAATGGAAGTTGAGAGTTATGGTGCAGGCCTGGAATGCCAGCACTGTGGGGTAGGGGGCTGAGGCAAGAGGAGCCTCAGGTTAAGGACACTCTGGACAGCATGGCATAATTATGTCTCAGAACAAAACAATCAGCCAACCAGCAACATCAACAGCACTGACACTGTATAGGAATGAGCATTCTGTAGCATAACTGTTTTATTACTAAAAAAAGTAGGCACCATAAAAAGTATGGCTAAGCAATATGCTAGCAGCTAAAAGATGAGGTAATAATGATCAGTTCCTTACAAAAATCAAATATCTATAAAAATCTCTGCTGAGAGAGAGGAGTTGAGGAGGGTGACTGTGATTAAAATACATGGTATGCATAGGGGAACTTCTCAAAGAATTAATAAAAAAATACTTAAAAACAAAACAAAACAAAAAAGATACTGAAAGTGGGCTGGCCAGAAGGTATGACAGGTAAAGTCATTTGCTGTGCAAACCTGATAACCTGAATTTGATCCCTGGGACCCAGGGAACCAAAACGACAAAGTTTTCCTCTGACCTCCATACACATGCGGTAGAATGTGTGCATGTACATACACACATAGTAATAATAGTAATAGTAGTACTAGTAGTAGTAAAAATTAAAAATTAGTATTAATAAGGAAAAGAATATAATTGAAAAAAGTTGCTTACATCAGGCTGATTTTACAATAAAATAAAAAGCTGATTTTTTTTTTAAATACGAATTTGAGGGAAGGTGGAATAAGAAATGGGTCATCGAGAGTACTACTATAGCAAGATTCTAGGCCAAAAGAATAGGTGTTTAACCTTCAGCTTTGATGTCTGAGAGCCTTTGATCACAGTGAAGGAAGTGTGAGCATTACCAAAGCTGCATCATAGAATAGCATATCACAGGTAACACACCGAAACTAGAAGCATAAAACACAACAAAAGAAAACATTTGTTTAAAGATATTTCTAATAGTGAACCTTCCTGTTGCTTTATTAAAGTTAGGCTATTGCCTAAAATTTCTGGTCCTCTTTTTGTTTTGTGTTTGAAGTACAGAGAGTGAACCAAGTCCCTGTGTGGCCTATGCAAGCTCAGCCACTAAGTTATAGCCACAACTTTTTGTTTTGTTTTGTTTCGTTTGAGACAAGATGTCATGTAACATAGGCTAGCCTCACCTTGTAGCCAAGGATGAACTTGAATTTATGATTCTCCTTCCTTCACATTCCCAAGTGCTAGATTATAGAGGTATGCCACCATTTGCACTTTTATTCCATTCGGGTGATCAGGCATGCTAGGCAAGCACTCTACCATCTGAGCTATGTTCTACGTCCCATTTGGACTTTTAGATGGATTATGGTCTCACAGACCTTGACCTCATTCTCTGGCTTCATCTTCCTAAGTAACTAGAACTACCACTAGAACCACCAGTGTTAGCTAAAATTCTATCATTTTATATAGGATATGATTGTTACCATATCAAAACTATGCCATTTTTCCATGGGTTTTATGCACCATTTTATCTCTTGGAAATTCTGATTATTCCTTGAGAGTCTTCTTTTGCACAAAACAATAAATGGATACTGACCAGCCATAAATCTATAAGCTTCAGAAAAATTGAATGTTATTAACATTCAAAATCTTCCTTAGATGATGATTCTGTGCCTTATTATTTCTTGTTACAGACAGACTTTGAAAAGGATGTAGACATTGCTTGTCGATCAGGTAAGAATTCTTTGATCTTTTAAATATAATCTGTAGGGATGTGAAATCATTTTGTGTCTTTTGTTTTTCGTAAGAAAATCCTAGGCTTTGTGAATCACACTCATGTGGGTGAATGGTGATATCTCTTCCAACGAGAATCACTGTATCATCAGGGATTTATATCAAGAGGGGATGGGGAAGGAATGAGAACTGAGAAGAAATAAGAAATGGGTCATCGAGAGTACTATAGCAGCAGAAAGCACTAGCAAGGCCATAAATTTCCATCCTCACGAATAAGAGCAGTTGTAAGGCACCTCACTGTAGCTGCTTTGCTTATCATACAGAGAGTATGAATCACTAGACTGGTGAACTACCTTGGTGTGTGTGTGTTGGGAGGGGTAGCTGTTCTCTAGCCATTGGCTGATTTTACACTAGAGAAGAGGACTCAAAAGTATTAAAGAAAATTAAATATTTTCTATTTTGGATTTTTTCATTAGTTGGGAAAGTATCTTCCAAAACACGTCAATATGCACCTCATTTTACCTTTTATTTGTTGTTCTCTGTTCTGTCTTTTTTTATATATTAAAAATGGAAGTATCTACTTCAGCTGAGTACCCAAATATTTGAAATCAAGTATTATTTAGTTCAATCTGAGTGCGGTTTGCCTTCAGATTTAACAGCCATGTGTCATCATTCATTTCTAATAGCATCTTCCAAGGCCTGGGGCTGAAAATAGCCCCCAATTTGTCAATAAATTTAAATTATAGTATACACATATATGCATACGCATCCAGCTTCCATCACAGTTGGCTATTTATTTGTATTAATGTGGTCAACATTCACACACGAGTTATGCTTCAGTACAAGTGTCAACTTGTCATCTAAGATGCCCAAAGTATTTTAGAGGTGCTGTCAAGGAGTCTCCTAAGATTATGTAAAAGTTATGCTTCTGGTATGCTTTTATAGAAAAAAAAAAACTTCTGCCTTTATCTCTGTACACTGGCATCTTAACTTCTTTCAGAATAACATCTATCTGAGATTGTGTAGACATTGAATATTTGATATAGTACCTTCTAAGTCTCCATCCAAACTGTCTACCAAGGAGTAAAATGTCATGGCAACTATTGTAGAGCTGGCAGTGCTGGGAAAGGCACCCACTTCCTACCTTCCAGACTCCCTTATGTATTGTTTTCAGATTCAATGCAGAGCCATTAAAATCTGTGCAAATGTCAGATCATATTTCTTGCCATAATCACAATCACATAGGAAACTAATCTTGTATTCTTGAATTCAGTCAAAACACTCTGGATGGGTATGGTCTCAGCAGTCTTCAGCTAGCTGCTATGATTTGGCTATGATTTGGCAACCCTTGGTGGGCCTGTAAGGGGAGTAAGAATTAGCTATTCCTATAGCAAAAATCGTATCCATCTTCTATGATCGCAAAAATTCACAAACCACGGTGCAAGTTTCCCCACTTATACAATACAATTTGGCTGTATTGGGAGGCTTGAACTTATTTTAATGGTTAGGTGTCGATTTAATTCTTAATCATCCATCCTCAATTTACCTTCCTTGCTTCCTTCATGTATTCCTTAGAATTCTTGACAGAGGGAAAAATAAGAACAGACACTTTTGTCTTTTCTTTAACAGCTATTCAGAGCAAACCAGTGCTTGTCAAAGTGTGGTACCCAAACAAGCAGTGCACCACCTGCCACTTCCTATAAATGCAGTTTTGAAGACCTACCTAGACCTTCTAGCCCAGTATCTGTGGGCCTGGCACACAATAACCAGGGTTTTAGAAGCCATTCAAGTCACTGTGATGCATTGTGAGTGCTGAGAACTTCCATGTCAGACCTCCTTCCCAGAGCTGCAGTTCCCAGCCCTTCAGAATGTACAATGTTGTCTTTTGTGCCCTGGAGTCTTGGTAACACTGTGTTATTAAGAAACAATTTGGTGGCCCACGCCTTTAATCCCAGGACTTGGGAGGCAGAGGCAGGAGGATCTCTGTGAGTTCGAGACCAACCTGGTCTACAAGAGCTAGTTCCAGGACAGCCTCCAAAGCCACAGAGAAACCCTGTCTCGAAAAACAAAAAAAAAAACAACAAAAAAAAGGAAACAATTTACAATGTGTTTATCCTCTGTTTTCATTTTTGGCCAACGACCTTTTCAGTTGAGTTCATCAGCACATCCCTCAGAATTTTTCAAGAGAATTCTGTATATGTTGATTCTACTAAAGTCTCAGTTCCTGGGCTCTGAGCAGTCTGTTCTAAACTTTGAAACCTCTTCTCAAGATGCTGGAGCGCACATCTGTTTATGCTAACTCTTGATGTTGCTTTCTGTGTGGTTTGGTTTTTGTTTTCACAACTCAATTGATTTATCTGCAAGGTCCTACTGCAACACTGTTGTCATGGGTAGGAGGTTTATATTCAAAGTTTGTTTCCATTTTAAGCAAATAAAGAAGCAGGCTCATCTCTCACATACTGTGGACATTACTTCGTAAAAATACTTGGATCTCTAATACTTAATATAGAGAGAACATATTGTAAAAATCTAAATGTATCTCGCATCCACATCCAGATTATGAAATCAAATACTCATTGCTAAGGTTTCTTTCAGAGTTTACAACCCATTAATAAAGGTAAGAAAACATCTATGTATCCCTACTATAATACAATGGGTACTCATAATGTGTCTTTAAATTTTAGTGCTTTGGATTTTGGATTAATTTTTGCGTGAAGTTAGTAACTAAAATTATGCTGTGAATTTTCAAATGCTTTAAATGTTGTTTTAATTTCAACTATTATTTAATTTGTCAATAAACTTCACCCCTTAATGTTTCATTCACAATTATTTCTAGAAATTGCAATGTATTACTGCTCTCTTAGTACCTTAAGAGGTTTAGATTTTACTTTATTCTTGTTTTTGCTTTTACAAAGTGTAGGTAGCCAAGGCTGCCAGCCTCCTGGTGCTGTGATTACACACTACCACCATGTCAGATTTAGAAATAACATTTTAAAGCTTTATCTTTTCTTATTTTTTACAAACAAAAATGTAAAACATAAAAAGTTTACAACCACATTGTTGATTCATAAAATATATATATGAATATTTAACATGATGTTATGGTCTAGGAAACAAAGAGGCAATAATACAAGAATAGACACAGCATCTCTAAAGATAACAGGTATTGTATGAGTGGTTTGTACTTTGGAATAGTTTAATGGCTTCATTTCCTCAAAGTAGCAACAGATAATCATAATCTCCTAGTTTTCAACTTCTGTGCTAATTCATAGTTATGATTCTGTTGAAAACTTGGACAATAATGAGCAAAATTCAGCCTCTGAAAATGTTCATGCCTTCAGACACAAGTTAGCTATTCATGATGAAGTTTTCTACTGTAGTTTCTTTGCTTTGTGGCCATCCTACACCAGTTTTATTTTCAGACAGTCTCACTATGTAGCTTTGACTGTCTGGAAACTCACTATGTAGACCAGGCTGGCCTTGAACTCACAGATACCTGTCTTATCTCTACCTCCCAAGTACTGGGATTAAAGGCATGCACCACCACACTCAGCCATCAAGAAACTGTTTTAATGAACAGACATTCTAGAAAACTTTAGAAGAAAGGCCTATAGGAAAATTAACAAATTTGTGTGAACAAAAACTATATTTTTATGGAAATGCTTTGAAGTACATTGATGGACAAATCTTCTCTGGCAATCTACTCTTTGCCTTAAAATTAATGCAGAATTTTTTTCAGGGTAAGACACAGAGAGTTTTTGAAAGCCAGTTAATCAGCTTTCAGATATACTTTATCTATGCTCATGATCTATGGCAGTGTCACAGAATCAATAACAATTCAGTAATCTGGACTGTGAAGAAACAAATGCAAATAATTTGTTAAAAGAGTATTTTTCTTTAGCTTTATTAAGAGAGTGTTTAGTAGAAAGATAAATAATAGCAAATAACAATAAAAATAAACAATTTCTTTATATTAACTATCATGGTCTTATTTGCAGTGCTTCATAAGGATATTGGCCCTTGCCGAGCAGCAACAATCACAGGAACGCTCTCCAGGATCTCCCTAAACGACGATGAGGAAGAAAAGGGAACAAATCCTGAAGGGCTAAGCTATTCAACATTGCCTGGAAATGTCATTTCCAAAGTCATCATCCAACAGCCCACAGGCCTGCACATGCCCATGAGTATGAATGAGCTGAGCAGTCAATGTCTGAAAAAAGAGAACACTGAATTGCGGAGAACTGTGTACTTATGCACGGATGACAACTTAAGAGGGGCTGATATGGACATAGTCCACCCTCAGGAAAGAATGATGGAAAGTGACTATATTGTGATGCCTAGAAGTTCTGTAAATACCCAGCCATCAATGAAAGAGGAAAGCAAAATGAATATTGGCATGGAAACCTTGCCGCATGAAAGGCTATTGCACTACAAAGTGAATCCTGAATTCAATATGAATCCCCCTGTAATGGACCAGTTCAATATGAACTTAGATCAGCATCTTGCACCCCAGGAACATATGCAGAATTTGCCCTTTGAGCCTCGCACAGCAGTGAAGAATTTCATGGCCTCTGAACTGGATGATAATGCAGGACTGTCAAGAAGCGAGACCGGATCAACGATATCTATGAGTTCTCTAGAGGTGAGTCATAAGAGGTTAACCAGTCCCTTGATATTTGAGGAGCATTCAGGCTGATCCATGTAATGTTGGCTTTAGGAGGATCTGTGTTAATTTGGACAGAGTTTCTGATGTGTACATTTAAGATTCTGGACCTAAAGTTTTTCTAGTGGTACATGAGAATCTCCTGGTTCAAGATGTTCTTTAAAAGTAGAGTCCAGTGTGGTTAAAATGATACTAATCAGTCTTAATTCTCTCATAATGGGACTCCCATGGAACATTCATGAAGAAAATACAGAGGCTTCTCCTGAGGTTTTACTGATAGAATAGGACACTTTCAAATATAAATTAGTAACTGGATGGTGTTGCAAATTCAAAGCTAGAACTAATTTTTTTTTCTATAAGGCCATCTGTTATTATAAAATTAAAATGTTTCTGTGGATGGTGCCATTACACTGATTATAAACATTATTATCATGTCAGATCAATATGATTCAGAATAAATGTTTTGTTCCTAATTCTATAGAGAAGTGACTATTAAAAGTATTGGTTTTTAAGTGTTAACTATCCCAAGTATATATTCTAAGCATACTAATACTCGGGACTAAGAGCCAGGCAATGGCCTTGGCCCTGATTAATCCAAGTATATATTCTAAGCATACTAAGACTTGGGACTAAGAGCCAGACAATGGCCTTTGCCCTGCATAAGGTCATCAATAGTAAGAAGGTGTCAGTGAGGTAGAGGATTACTAACAATTACCATCGTTAATACTGTATTAGAATTACACAAATGAGATACACAGAATCAGTATCTAATTTTCTAATGGCATATCCCATTGCTCTGGTGCTGATTTGTATGAATCTTATATCTTGAAGTCTTGCTATAAACCCACTACTAAGATACACAGTCTATATAAAAAACACTAGTATTCTTATTCATGATATGTGTGTTTATGTATACATATATCTCTCATTGTTTTAATTATATTATTGCATAAGTCATTATTTAGGGAAAAGTGACGGTAATTGGTTGCATGGCCTTTCCATGAGAATTATTCTGATAATGTATATTCTAAGGTGCAAAAGTCCCCCAAAGCCATACCTTTCACTCTGTCTAAATTAAAATGGATCATGAAATGTAGATAGTTCTAGTTTTTTCAAGTAGAACAAGAAAACTCTAGACCAAAACCAGAATATATTTCTAGAAGACAGTTTCGAATCAGCCTCAACTAGAAGAGTGTTTCAACACAAATCCAAGACCTGTTCTCAGAATCAAAGGTGCAGATAGGGATGGCAAAGCAAATTCTTTTCTAGAGTTTCTGTCTGTCATACCTTCTGGACAAAAGCATCCATTTTCTTAACTAGTAGACTTGTTGTGTTACCCCAATCATAACTTTATATCACAGATATTAACTTCTCTACTACAATAATGACCACATAAGCTGCAAAATGTTCATGCAAAATTGCAGAGAGTTTTAAGAGGATTGAGTAAGAATGTATATGAGGATATAACATCAAAAGTAATCAAGATAATGTGGGCATTTTTTCTATGCAATGACATTTATACAATGACTATTTTTAAAATTACTAAATAAATTTGAATGGAATTGCACTAAAATAATTTAGGTGTTGTGAAATGCTTTAAATTTATCATCTACAACCTAACTAGGGTTGAAATTATGCAGCTTTTGTGTACTTAAACAATAGAATTTTAAGCATATATATATATATATACATACATAATGTGCATATATATGTATATATATAATATATATATATGACAAAAGATCCACATTTCAATGACTTAGAGATCACAGAACTTATATTTTGAAAAGAAAGGAAATTTAGAATAAAATTTAGTTCTCTATTCATTCTTTAAAAGAGTTTAACTGTAACTGCTCAGGTGACCTTTTAGGGAATGAATGAGAATATGTAGATGGTAGCGTGAATAATAAAAATTAGCATTTTTATAGAATTTTTCATTAGCAGGTCCTCAAATCACCTTAAAAACATGAATTAATTAGTCTTCACATCAGTTAGATAAGTTGTTATAATCTTCAAAGTGAAAGCATCTGCTCAAGGAGACACAGCAAGTTTCTAAGCGATAAAGCCATCAGGTCTTTGGCCCCTCCAAATGAAACAAGAGGTTAAATATGCAGGAACATACATCCTGGAAAGGCTGGTGCAGCAAAAGATGACAAGCTGTTGCTCGATCTATTCATAGATATAATGTAAAGTTGTGACATTAACTCAGGAGTTTTCCTCCAAAAGAGGTGACAAGAAACAAGAGAAGGGCAAATGCTGCTAGTTGATAGCACAGAATTCGGTAGTCATGAGAACGCAGCACACAAGAAAATATACAAGTTGAAGGAGAAAATGAAGAAAGCCAAAGAGAAGTGAGTGGGTGAGTGGGTGGAAGCATTTATTCATGTTAGCAAGAAGCAACAAAGAAAGGAGGAGGCTCCAACCGTTGCTGCACCATCAGAAAAGACTCCAGCTTCCATGGGAGTTTGTTCTCCTAACCCCTAATTACTGGGTGTAAATGTTTAAGACATTCATGGAGTTCCTTGGCACAAAAGTGTATTCAGAGATTCTCCATGCCCATTATTACATTGTGCCTTTATTTCTGCTACATAGTGCTGCCCTAACTGTGGTCATTCCCAAAATGAATCTGTTAGACAACTTTCAAAATTTTTAGAATTTGTGTTTTAAAACTTGTAACATTAAGTTTTCATAAGTGATCTAGCCCAAGATGTCCTCTAACTACCTCACTTAAGGAGAAGATAAAATGGCCTTCAGCACCCTAAATATTCACCTGCAGTCAGCTAAATATATCGAGTGTTTGATGTGCACTTGTATATGGACGGACAAAGAAAGATAAATGATGACAGGCATGAATCATGATCCTACGCACTTGGTTAAATTTTAGAAGGTAGTGCTTTAGATTTATTGTCTGAAGATTATAAGCGCATTACTATTTATAAGAAGACAACTCAGTTCCGGATGACAGAACTGCTACAGTCATGATTCCACAGCAGCTGTGATTGACCACACAAGACCTATATAAGATAAAGCCAGTCCACATTTTAGCACGGAGGGCCTCATAAGCCCTGAGCCCTAGCTGAGGAGCTATAGGCAGGTGATGGCTTCTAGGGGAGCTTAGAGAATCAGTTTTCTTTAAGGATGTGCCCCTCATGAGTTGACCCTGATCCGGTGGATGGTCCCACACCCGTTGAGTATATGGGTAGCCCAAATCGGACTCAGTGGGCTATTAAAGAGAGAAGATATGAAGTTGGGAGGGACTGAACAGTGAGGCCCTGGGAGGAGTTACAGAGAGGAGTGCAAAGGGAACATGATGCAAATACATTTTATGAATTTCTCAAATAATCAATTAAAACATTACATTTTTAAAAGGAAGGTCAGAACAACTTCTGGATTATAGTGCTTCCTATTGGTTTATTTTTCTGAAATTTTGTGTATGCGTTCTTGCCAGTTAAATTGGCCAGCATTTGCTCTGAGTCTGAAAAACTGACAATTTATTGAACAGCTTGCTCTTCATCTGTTTAGTCATGACCCACTCTTTTCCCTGATCGCTCAGGGTTAGCATGGCTCGTACATCACTGATTTCTTGCTGGATTCAGCCAACAGGAAGCACTGGCCAACGTCTGAGTTTGAGGGGGAAATGAAAACAGAGGAGAGCTCCACACTGTTCCTGCTTTTTACATTCAGTTTGTGCCACAGCTCCCATACACTTGCTGCTTTTTCTCCCAGGTGCCCCACTCCCAGGATAAAGACCCCCTGTCATCTGCCTATGGCCATCCATCTTAGGGGTCTGTTGACTTCTTTTGCTAATCCATTGGTCACCTCGTGGTTCCCTTTGTGGCTTCTCAGCTTCCCTGTCACTTGAGTTCTAAAGGAACATGTTCTACTGTAAATGCAAAAGTGGTTTCTGTTGCTTTCCTGTCAAGTCTTGCTTTAGTGCCACTTATCGACAAAACATTTGCATAATGGGAAAATTTGTAAAGTACATTACAGCATTATGTTATTACATACAGAAAGTTTTGCTCCTCTAGTTTCTCTGACTGCTTCTAAACATAAAGGTATCTAGCTACCTGGATAAGATCTCAGATAAGCCTCACTGCATTTGTAAATGGGTGGAATGGTTTTCCCCCGGGATATAGAATACAGAACACTTAGCTTATGGTTATCAAAAATAAAATATTTTAGTGATAATGTCACTTCACAGTGGCTGTCACACCATCTCGTGGCTGATGTGAGGATCAAATTACATGAAAACCTTTTGAAGATTGTAAGGAGAACTTCAAATGTAAGGCTGTGTTATGACAATGTCACCAGTGTCACACTCTGAATGTCTGTAAAGAAGCTTGAGCCTAAGTGGATGTTCAGAAATTTAGACAGAATGTTATATGGCCTCACTTGGGAACCAGGAGGTACTGTCTCAAACAGAAACAGTATAAAACTGGCTATGTGCAGAAACCATAGTTAAGTTTTCTGTATTTTCTTCTCATGTTGATCTGGTAAAAGGAAAATTTCCCCATCTTTTTTGCTCTGTTTTTGCTCCTGGATTATACAATCTTATCTTTTATGCAGGCATACAAACAAAATTAGATTGAATAAAAGTCATTTCAGAAAATTAATTATTCCCAGACTTCATTGCCGCAGCTAATTTTAATGGATTTGTTATCAAAGCTTTCTTCCTGTGAGTGAGTCCATAGCTCACCCTGTAATAGAAACTTTTAATAGCATTCATATTGCCATTCATTAGTCAATGGAATTCATTACTTGCTGTGAATCGTCTAGTGTCTTGTCCAGTTTAATTTTCAGTGACACAAATAATGACATATTTCCTCTGAGAAATTGTTCATCATTTTACAAGAGTTGCATGTGAAGGCCACTCTAGGCATATATGTACTAAATGGTCCTCTTAGCCTGATGCCATGACACATTTTCTCAACTTTTAAATCATCTCAAAGAATTTCTCCCTTCTATCAGCAAAAAATATGCCTTCCTAATAAATTGTCTTGATTCTTTCAGCTGCCAATCAGTCTAATTTGATTGGTTTTCTTTGTCTATTTAGGTCACTTGGTTATCCAAATTCTCCCAGGGTATCGCTTAAAACAGACCAATAAAACAACAGTCACATTAGTTTTAGTTCTGTGGCTGTCATATTATACTCCTTTGATCATTCACTAATAATTTTGCAACTGCAAACTGTGGTGACATATCCCCTGCTAAATGCTAAGGCTGTGCAGCTAATTGAGAGAGGTCTAAGGAGGTGGTCACATAGGTGACAAAGAGGGGACAGACAGAGATACCATTCAGAGATCCAAAATAGGCCAAGTGGATTTAATATGGAAGATGAAGGATATGAGTAAAGGAGGAACAATTCTAAACCTTTGTCTTGGTTGACCAGTTATTAGTGTTGGCTGTGATGAGAAAGACCATGAGCAAAAGGATGTTTGCATATTGAAAGACGGCATTAAAACCTATGGCATAAGTCATGTAATCCAGGAGAGCATATAGAGTGAACTGATCTCAGGAGCTCCACATTCAGAAAGAATGGGCATAGGAAATAGCCAGCACAGGAGGTTTCTAAAAGAGCCACAGTGAGTGAAAGAAGAAAAAGGGAGAAAGAAAAAGCTGAGAGCTGACGAGAGCTTTAATGAGGAAGTGATTAACTTTCTACAGCTTCTGAGAGTCCAGTGAGATGAGGGTGGAAAATTGACCTTGCTGTTTGTCCAAATGGAGCTCATTAGAGTTCTTTGACAAGAATTTTAATGGAGTGTTAAGAGCATAATGCAGTTGGGATGAGTTCTAAGTGGCGGATTGCAGAAATGAAACTGCATCGCAAAGAAGGATGGGCTTCAAGTTACTTGGAAATGAAGGCTGTATAAGCAGAGAGATTTGTGTTTGCACAAAATATTTAACACCACATTGGCTCAATTTAATTTTACATGTAGTATTTGTTTAAATTATCAAATTATTTGTTTAAAAAAAGGGCATGTGGCTTGAACACTTTGTCAGTCCTCTTTGTTTAGATATATGGTCAGAGATGAGGGCATGGGTCAGTCAGGAAAGAGCTTGCATTGTGAGAATGACAACTTCATGTCAGCCCTCACTAACCCACTTGAAAAAAGCCAGGCACAGTGTCACAGGTTTATAACACTGGGAAGGAAGAAAACAAGCAAACCAGGGATGGACAGTACCTGGGGGATACCTGAGGTCTCCTAGCCTACACACACATGCATACACACACAGGAACATGTGTACACACATGTGAACATACATGCAAAACAAGAAAACACAATCAGTATTTCTAACCACTTTCTTGGCATTCTACAAGGCACAGAAGAACATTTTAATAAACATGGAAGTGAGTCACAGTCTCAGCAAACTTCAGCCTCAAAAGACTTTCTGAACATTGTATGTGTATGTACATAGGGTAGAAACACACACAAGCAAAATGGGTTGGGATTCTTCTGGTTTCCCCCTGGTACTACTAATGTGTCAGGGTCTTACGCATAGGACAAACTGAACTTTTCTGTAGCAAGTGTTGCATCTGTTTGTTGTTGTAGCATTGCTCATAATTGGTCTATTAGGAAGATATTACATTTTTGTTTTGATTTGTTTTTACCCAACACAGATTTTCTGTGAAATAAGCATCATCATATTGACATTTTTCCCCTTCTTCTTCAAAATACAATTGGCCTGGAAAAGTTAATCCATTTGACCTTGCTTTATGCTTCCAAAGCATTTCCATCCCACTGTTATGATTCATGTCTGCTGGGGTCATCTAGTAGGACTCTTGTTCAATTTCCAAGCAGTATACAAAATATCTCAGACATCTTGTTTGTCAAATACTATTTTTTTATATCTGAGCTAGTCAGACCTCACATGGAAAATGTTGGACTAAGAGTCAGACCTGAGTTTTCCCCACAGTCCTGGGTGAGTTGGTCAAACTACTGGCTCTGGTTACATTCATTCATAAAATGACATCATTTTCCAACCATTCCACAGAGAGGTTAGCATTTTCAACTGTGAAATCACTTTGTAAGATGCACAAGGTTGAAACACTCAGTATTGTGGCAAAGTGAATAGCCATACACACCTTTATTTTCTTTGGATTTTCAATACCTGACACATTTCTGGTACTACCTGGTCTTGAAACCCCCTGATTTATTTTGTAACCATCCTCACCACACTCCACCACCACCAGGTTTTGATTAAAATCTGTGTGATTCATTTGCTCATCCCTTCATCTAATCTTGCAGACTGCCAGACCTGCTATGCCCTTGGTTTGCATTTAATTTTAATGAAATTAAATAGGAGACAAAGGAGAAAGGGAGCGCTATTTGTGGGAATATCCATTTTCTTTTCCGTGCTGCACATTGACATAGGTGGCATTGGTATTCTGAGTTGGAATCTGTTGCTAGGGCTCTTCAGGTTCCCATCTTTTCCTATAGCTCCTACAACATGGAACCTTTTGCAGCATGTGTGCAACGAAATCTCCAGTTCCTAGGCAGCGCTGCCTTGTGATCCAAAACAAATGCAGTAACATATGGCCGTTTTCACCTTTGGCAACAGAGAGCCCCTCAGTGGGTGCAGCAGAAGGCCCTCTCCTTCTAGCTGACTGAACCTATTCTGGAAGATTCCACTGGTTCATTTTCAGAAGGAATGTGAAGCTCGTGACTAATGTTTTATAGTGTTCGCTTTTAACTAAGTTTTGCTTACACACAGACACACACACACACACACACACAGACACACACACACACAC